AAGGTTTAAACTTGTACTGTGCAGATGAGAAAAGCATGAATTCAAAATGCACCTGCATCAAGGAGGGGCTGAAATGTTGTTATGACTGTGTAGCTGTAAGCAGTGCAAAAATTAAAAAGAAATCATGGAACAAACGGAGGTGTCTGAAAATGAAGAAGAGGAGGTTAAATAGGTACTAAACACAAGGTACCTACTTAATCCTTATAATAATAAGGATTAAAAACAATACCTATTGGTTTTATTTTTATTCTTCTAATTTAAAAAAAAAACTGACCCGTCTGCATATTATAAATATAGGTCTGTTTCTGCAGAAATCACAAACCAGTCAGAGCGAATTTCATTGGTCGAAAACAGTCAGAAAACCAGTTTCAACCATTGAAATTCACTCTGACTGATTTGTATTTTCTGCAGAAACAGACCTTATATTTTCAGCTACTAAATCGTACCTACTAAACGGCGTTAAAACGACCGCTGACGTCGGCCGATCCCATGCACGCTGCGCCTGAATTTTCAAGATTTTGCGATTTTGTAAAATTCATAGCAAAAAAACTATACATCGGAGATAAAAGATTTTAACTTTTTGAATGTTTCTTCTTTCTTTGCTTCGCAGCATGTAAGTGGAAAAAGTTGAAAATAAAAAATTTTGTCGCTTAGTGAAATTTTAGAGTCATATTTTGTGACGTAACAGTTTAAACATCATTTAAAAAATATAGAACATATTTCGGTACAGCAATGTATAGGTCTGTTAGAAAGCCCAATAAATGGACTTTATTTTGGTAAAAAAGTCGATTTCCTAGCTTTGTTAGTTTTAGAGATTGTAACGAAGTTACAGAAATTTTCCGTTCACCCACCGAACGCAAACACATTGCGAACTCCCTCTAGGCCAAACACATGATGGACAAGCTCTATGCCCCAACAGGCGTCCGCGTCGCCCAGCCGCCCTACTACTTTACCACCAAAGTGGGGACCGAACCCAGCGAGCCGAAAAAGATTTCGGAAAAGAGGAACTAGCTGACCGACCCCCGACTAGACTAGAAGTCCGAAAAATTATTTAAATACCTACGCAAAAGTGCTTTAAACCGTTTTTCTTTTTTTTAGTTCCTGTAACTAATTTTGTGCCAGTGAATATTCTGCCGGTATGTACCGTTAATTTTAATTTTTTTTCTGCCGTATTCCGAGCTATAACTTCAATTAAAATCCGAGCAGGGCTGTTGGTTGAAAGATGTGGGCTAAGAATCTCCGACTTTAGTCTATTCAGAACGAGATTACTAGCACAGCGTCTTCGACTTTCGAATTGCGTGAGGCACAATTAGTTCTAGTCAATGGAAATAGTTGTCCCGCACGTTTTTCGCCCTGATCTCTGAACCGAACTTTCACTGCAAATTATATTTGGGGCAATCAGTAACCGTCCAGTCGAATTTTTTTTTACCGTCAGCTCAGAAAACCGAAAGTTGGCTTTTTAAATTGTTTCTGGAATTGATAAGATTTTTTCCAGGAAACTGTTTCACTGATTTTTCTTTTTTTCCAAACTCGTGGAAAAAGGCAAATATTTTGTTTCCGAAATTGTTATTTAAATTTTATTTTGTCCATGAGTTTTTGTTACCGAAACCACTAGGAACCGACATTCCGATCTATTGTACCTATTTTATGCATATTGAACCGAAATCCAGCTGGTGTCTTTTTATTATTTAGTATTCTAGTTGAATTTTTTTTTTATACCTACTGATAAATAAAATTCCAAATAAAGTACCGCCACCGAAATTTCATATCGTAATATTTTTTTTTAAATTATTATTATTATAATAAACTGACTTAAGTATTACTTTGACTGAAGTAAATTATTGTTTCCCTGTCCTATCCTTTCGACTCCCTTTGGAAGTTAATGTGGTTTCGAAAATTTTCTACTCCAACTATCGAAGCCTTGGACATCCGAACTCCACTTAGTTATCTGGCAATCATCCGTAAGCGATCCCTTTGTCGCTTTCAAATAACTCAGAGGGTGGCGCTCGAGCAAAGACCGCCGTCCGTTTTAGAGTAAAACCGGAAGGCCTTACAAGATATTAGAGTGTGAACTTAAAATTTACATTTTTCGATTTTATCCAAATTTGTGCTATTTTTCTAAATAAAAAATCTCTCGACCACTAAAAAATATCGTAAATCACCATTTCGAATAGCCACTAAGATACTTAACAATAATATAAACATTTCACCTGGTTGTACGCCGATTTTTTTTATCTCGGTAAATAAGCGACTTTTTGCCTCTGTTTCGCTCCACTAAAGGTACATGACCCATCGTACACTGGGGTCCTTATAGGGGGCCACACGTCAATTCTGCTTGGGGGACTGTAGATAAGTTTATCGTCACCCTTATGCCTTGTCCAGAGGGGCGTTCCCAACGAGAGGTACTTGCACTGGGGAGACTTAATTCCAGAGGGGCTTTTCCAACGAAAGGTATTTGCACTGGTTTAAGTCTGCCTTTGCTGCGGCTTGCAGCGCAATTTATATTAATTTATTGCTGAATTGCAATAAATATTCGATCGAATCGGCAATTAAATTAATAAGGTTGAATACCGGGTCCTCCTTTCCCAAGCAGCTAGTTGACAATATGTATGATGATAATGGTTTAAAACCATAGTGGGTGCTATTTTTTCAGCATAGTATCCATTATGGATTTTTCCTTAGTCTCTTAATTTTTCTAAAATGGCCTGTTACTTGCTTTTTCTTAGAAAGTCCAGTAAAAGTATTTTTATTAAGAGTCTTCACTTTGGTGGGTATAAAAGAAGGGTTCATTTTATTTCTATAAGGGTTTTTCCTATAAATAGTTTGTCCTTCTGTTAATTCGGGAATGGAACTAGTATTTCCATTTTGTTTTTGAGTGTTTTTGGATTGGGTTTTGTGAGTTTCTTCAAAAACCTTTTTATGAAACGGTATTAGTTCATTTTTACGTTTTTCGTTGTATTGTTCGTATATAGTCAAATCATTATTTATGTTTGGTTCGTTAAAATAGGGTCCGTATAATAGAGAGAAAGGTGAAAAGCCTGTTGTAGAATGGATGCTTTGATTGTATACTAATACAGCTGAAATCATCAAATTCTGGGGAGATTCTTCTGGATTTCTCATTTTTTGGGTTTTCAATTTTTCTAATAGGGTAGAGTGTAATCGTTCTACTATACTATTAGATGTTGAATTACCAGGAGTCGTGTAGTGTAGGTCTACATAAAAGAGTTGACAAAATTCTTGAAACAAGCGGTTTTTAAACTCTGATCCTTGATCTACGACAATCTTTTTGGGAGTGCTGTGATGAGAAAAGTAATGCCTGAGTTTGTTAATTATTGTGGTGGCATTTTTGTCAGAGACGTAGTAAGCTTGGGCGTACTTAGAGAAAGAATCTATGATAGTTAAAAATTGACAATTTGAAAATTGAAATATATCAAGGTGTAAGGTGTTGAATGGTTTTTCTGCTAACAATGGACCTTCATAATTTATTTTATACGGGTGCCTTTCATACTTGTTTTGTAAGCAGATTTCACAGGTGTTAATTAGAGTTGTTATGGTTTCGCGCATTTGGGGCCAATAGTATTTTTGTTTCAGTTGGTTATAGGTTTCTGTTATGCCGTTATGATTCTTCTGGTGGTAGTCGGATACAATATCTTTTTGTTGTTCTTGATTTTCAATATCTGTCAAATAAATATTTGAGATTTGAAGTTTGGCAGAACTGTTTAGATTTTCGGCAACATATTTTTGAAATTCTCATTTTAAATCGGAATTAGGTAGGTATGTATAAGACAGAATTTACATCGGGTCGAATTATTTCAAAAAGGATTTTATTGAAACGATGTGGGAGTTTGTCTTTTTCGATTCGAATAAGATGATGATTCTTTTTGAATGGTTTTGTAAATTTATGTGGGAATTTATCTCCGAAATCTATAATCAGACGGCATCAACCCGACCACTACAAAACAAATCTTACTATAATTAATTAATTTCATGCATTACCTATGCATCTTAGTTGTTTATTGAAAACAAAACCAGCTAGTATTTATCAATAAAAATGCACAAAAGCATTACCTATTGTTGTATTGGTTTAGTGAGTTCCAGTACTCGAATTCATCAGAATTAATAGTAGGTACTGTAGTCGAACCTAGACACGCAATGTTTGAGCAGATGTATATATTTGCCACGCAGCTACAGAACATTTAAAATCAGCCATATTTACTGGACAGATGCTGGCAAAGTGGTACTAGGTACCCGGAGACGATATCGAAAGACCTACTGCCTACGAAGATTGCAACTGCTCAATGCAAATTGTGACCAATTACATGAGCAAATGGAGTTACAGATTGCAGAGATTACATGATGGTAAATACCTAAATTTCAATGCGAGTTGGATTTGAACAGGAAGGCGCGACTGGAAGAGAAGTACTGATGAGGAAGTACCACATGTGCGATCCAAATCCAAAGTATACGCAATAAAAAACCCTTAAGAAATATTGTTTTATTAATCGTCACTAAATTGCTATTAAAACTTTAACATTTGTTAATTAACTCATCTCTATTATTATATTATGCAATTGAACATTTTGAAGTACTTTAGAGCTAAAATTTGAGGCCTCTAGACCTCTATAATTATTGCCATCACTTTTATATGAATTTAAAACTCCTTTTTATATAAAGATATGTACTAAGTATTATAGAAAATTGACCTAATAAACTTGTTTTGATTATTTAATATGAGGTTTGTTCAAAATTTATTCTTCTTCACCATCATATTCTTTTCAGTTATTTCGTTCTTTTTGTTGTCGATTTTCTCCTTTTTGAGCAAGTTGTCGTCCTCTTGGGCTAATTTTTCATATTTGTAAGTTTTGCGGACAAGCAGCGGCATTTCCAGTTGCGTCAGAATCTTCTGAGCGCATTTGATTCTCGTAGAGGCAGGAGGCTGCACACTGTGCAAAGGACTCGCCTCTCGAATCGGAGACAAACTGTTCTTGCTGCAGTAGTCTTTAAGAGTCATTTTCATGTCTTGCTTTTGAGATCTGCAATTGAAAAATTCAAAAACAGAATCATCTAATTATTACTGTACCTTTTTATTGCACCAGTTCTGGGTTGTCTTGGATAGGCGCCTCCAATGCAATGACCAGAGCAACAAGCGTGAGTGGAAGAGCCAGAAGTTGAAGATAAAATGGAAGAGCCTCCGCTGCTTACGCTGTACAAACTGTCGGATTGCGGTACTGATGCTGAAGCCATTGAGTAGCCAGATGCTGACGAAGGCAGTACTGCACCAGTCTACAAAAAAAGGTTTTTGTAGCAAATTTAATCCTCTATCGAATAAAACAAGATTCATTGAAATCGGTCCAGGCGTTCTAGAGTTATGGCCGATTTCGATTTAATGGGGCTATGGTCAAGCTGGAAATTTTCTTTTGGAATTTTTTCCGGGCTTAGAAGGCCCTAAATCAAAAAACGTCAAGAGGCATTTTCGCCTTATTTTGGCCCCCTTTAGCCAAAAAAAAAATAATTTTTCCAAAATTTTCAAGTTTGATTTTTCCATTGAAAAGCCTGGAAAAACATAGAAAATCGGAAAATAAAGGGAAAAAAAAGTTGGTTTCGGGACTTTTTGGGATCCCCTCTACAAAATGGCTATCTTGAAATTTCGAAATTCTGACTTTGATTTTTGGTCCTATACCTACAGTACAGAAAACTCTGAAAATTACAAAAATTGAAACTTCAACCAGCCATAGATCGGTAACCGTAAGTCGTAGAGGAAAACCGTTCATGGCTACATTATAGAGCTCATCGAGATCTACAAAAAAAGCTCAGTAAGTTGTTCTTCTACGACTCACCATTTCCAAGATATTCCACTTGGAAATTTTAAAATCGATAGAGCCCAGGATTTTTTTTCAGCGAAAAAATCAAAGTCAAAATTTCCGGGATTTTTTTTCACGACGTCATAGAGGACGTTCAGACAAATGTCGGAACCCACTTTTCCCCCCTCAATTCTCAGTTTTTCCTGGAGTTTTTGCTTTGTTCCTTTATGAATTTCTTATGAAAAAAATGGACGTAGGACGTCTCCTAAGCCTGGAAAAAAATTAGAAAGAAAATCTATAGGGATGAGGTTTTTCCAGCCTGACATGGTCTTATTTAAGCGGTTATAACTCTGGAACGCCTGGACCGATTTCAATGAATCAAGTTTCATTCGAAAGAGGATTAAATTTGCTACAAAATGGCCTTTCTCGTGGAAAAGTTTCAAAATTTTCCCTTTGCCAGTTTTCCAGAAAAAAATTAAAATGCAAGAGGTGAATTTTTGTAATTTTGCTTAAATAAATCAATTTTCCAGAATTTTTCCTGAAGTGGTTTTCCATTGGAAAATTTTGAAATTTTTCCATAATGAGCTCCTGACTTCCCTCTTTCTTCTGTAAAAATTTCGCAATTTTCTCTTTGCCAGTTTTCTAGAAAAAAATTAAAATGCAAGAGGTGAATTTTTCTTAAACAAGTCAATTTTCCAGAATTTTTCCTGGAGTCATTTTTCATTGGAAAATTTTGAAATTTTCCTATAATGAGCTCCTGACTTTCCCCTTTCTCCTGTAAAAATTTCGAAATTTTCCCTTTCCCAGTTTTCCAGAAAAAAATTAAAATGCAAGAGGTGAATTTTTCTTAAATAAGTCCATTTTCCAGAATTTTTCCTGGAATCATTTTCCATTGGAAAATTGTGAAATTTGCCTATAATGAGCTCCTGACTTTCCTCTTTCTCCTGTAAAAATTTCGAAATTTTCCCTTTCCCAGTTTTCCAGAAAAAAATTAAAATGCAAGAGGTGAATTTTTCTTAAATAAGTCCATTTTCCAGAATTTTTCTTGGAGTCATTTTTCATTGGAAAATTGTGAAATTTTCCTATAATGAGCTTTACACTTTCCTCTTTTTCCTGGAAAAACTTCAAAACTTTCCCTTTGCCAGTTTTCCAGAAAAAAATTAAAATGCAAGAGGTGAATGCTTCTTAAATAAGTCAATATTCCAGAATTTTTCTTGGAGTCATTTTTCATTGGAAAATTTTGAAATTTTCCTATAATGAGCTTTACATTTTCCTCTTTTTCCTGGAAAAATTTCCAAATTTTCCCTTTGCCATTTTTCCAGAAAAAAAATAAAATGCAAGAAGTAAATTCTTCTTAATTTTGTTTAAATAAGTAAATTTTCTGGGAATTTTTCCTGGAGTCATTTCCTATTGGAAAATTTTGAAATTTTCCTATAATGAGCTTTACACTTTCCTCTTTTTCCTGAAAAATTTTCAAAATTTTCTCGTTGCTAGTTTTCCAGAAAAAAATTAATTTACAAGAGGCTTCATTTAATTTAAAAAACACTGGAAAGTCTCGGAAAATCGGAAAATTAAGGGAAAAAAAAGTTGGTTTCGGGACTTTTTGAGATCCCCTCTACAAAATGGCTATCTTGAAATTTCGAAATTCTGACTTTGATTTTTGGTCCTATACCAACAGTACAGAAAACTCTGAAAATTACAAAAATTTAAACTTCAACCAGCCATAGATCGGTAACCGTAAATCGTAGAGGAAAACTGTTCATGGGCAGACTGTAGAACTCGACGAGATCTACAAAAAAAGCTCAGTGAGTTGTTCCTCTATGACTCACCATTTCCAAGATATTCCACTTGGAAATTTTAAAATCGATAGAGCCCAGGATTTTTTTTCAGCGAAAAAATCAAAGTCAAAATTTCCCGGATTTTTTTTCACGACGTCATAGAGGACGTTCAGACAAATGTCGGAACCCACTTTTCCCCCCTCAATTCTCAGTTTTTCCTGGAGTTTTTGCTTTGTTCCTTTATGAATTTCTTATGAAAAAAATGGAAAATCGAAATTTTCGAATTTCGAAAAAACAAAAATTTCGTTGTATAGAGGAGGTCAAAACAAGCAGAAAAGCTATTTGGCATTTTCCCGTAGAACGTCTCCTAAGCCTGGAAAAAAATTAGAAAGAAAATCTATAGGGATGAGGTTTTTCCAGCCTGACATGGTCTTATTTAATCGGTTATAACTCTGGAACGCCTGGACCGATTTCAATAAATCAAGTTTCATTCGAAAGAGGATTAAATTTGCTACAAAATAGTTTTATCCAGAATTTCCAGATTTCAGGCCTTTAAATTTGAAAACTCCTTAATTTTTCATATTCAAATCGGAAAATTAATCGGCCATTACTCTGGAATGCTTTGATCGATTTGAGTACGAATCATGTTCCATTCGATAGAGGATTTTAATGAGCCTAATCGCATTGAAGATAAACAATTTTTCTTAATTATTTAAACATTTTTAATAATTTTATTAGTGGCGCCATCTAATAATCGAGAGTCTAACTAAAAATTGAAAAGTTATTATGACAGGAATCTGTAATTCGCATTTTTTGGCCCCCGACCGTTTTGTTCGAAAATTTGCATAATTTATCAATTATTTTATCGGTTGTATTGATTTTTCTTGATTTCAATTGCCTTAAACAATAAAAATTACTTTATATTGCATTAAAATCAATTAATTACCATTACAAGAATCTGTAATTGGCAACTTTGGCCGCTCGTTGATAGATAGCGCTGGTAGTTTAAATAATTTGTTTTTTCGAATTATTATTAATTTCAATAATTTTTCTATTGATTACTTGCTTTATATGACTATATTTATTACTTTTTATTAATAATAAATCACTATTCTCTTATAAATCGATTGATTATTGTTACAGAAATCTGCAATTTGCAAGCTTGGATAGTTGGAGATTTTATGCAAATATAAGTACTAATTAGTTAATAACAATGTTTTTTTCAATTATTAGTGGTTTATTGATTATCAACTATTAGTAATTAAGCGTCATTTGCATGAAAATCGCATTAGCTTCATTTAAGTTTTGGCTGTTCGTTAATAGATGGCGCTAGCATCTTTGTTGATTAATTTTTACATTTTATTCGATAATTAATCGATTTTGATAATTTATCTAATCGCCAATCGTCTAAAATAATCATATTTGGCAATAATTGAACACTAATTGTTTATAAATACATTTAATTATTATGACAGGAATCTGTAATTCGCATTTTTTTAGACCCCGACCATTTTGTTCGAAAATTTGCATAATTTAGTAATTATTTTATCGGTTGTATTGATTTTTCCTAATTTTAATTGCCATAAACAATAATAATTACTTTATTTTGCATTAAAATCAATTAATTATCATTACAAGAATCTGTAATTGGCAGCTTTGGCCGCTCGTTGATAGATGGCGCTGGTAGTTTAAATAATTTGTTTTTTCGAATTATTAATAATTTCAATAATTTTTTTATTGATTACTTGCTTTATATGTCTATATTTATCACTTTTTATTGATAATAGAGAGTTATTGGAACTATTAGATACTGTCTCGCAGTATTAAGGATCTACGTTATTTTATTAGTGCATCAGCACTATTTTTCCAAGAAAAAAACAGTTATTGGAAGAATGTAGTAGGTGCTTATTTTGTATTCATAATTTTGACAGATGATGGTTATGTTTATAAATTTTAGCCTCAAAAAGTGTTTATTCTTGTTTGTGATTTTCTGCTGATACTCATTTTTTGATGTTACCCACAGTAAAATGAAAAACTATTGTAAAAAATTAATTTCCTAAGTAAAATTACTTCACCGTCGAAAAGCAAAACGTCAAAGTCGTCCAAAATGTCAGAAATTTGAAATAAGGGAAGTTTACTGCCTCGCACTAACCATACACAAATATCCTTATTTTCAAACCTAAATGCGCATGCGTAGATGTCAAAATAAGGCTAATTTAAATACTGCTTATCCTTATTGCACGTCTAATAACTCTCTAATAAATCACCATTCTCTTATAAATCGATTGATTATTGTTACAGAAATCTGCAATTTGCAAGTTTGGATAGTTTGAGATTTTATGCAAATATAAGTACTAATTAGTTAATTTCAATGTTTTTTTCAATTATTATTGTTTTATTGATTATTAACTATTAGTAATTAAGCGTCATTTGCATGAAAATCGAATTAGTTTCATTAAAGTTTTGGCTGTTTGTTAATAGATGGCGCTAGCAACTTTGTTGATTAATTTTTACATTTTATTCGATAATTAATCCATTTTGATAATTTATCTAATCGTCAATCGTCTAAAATAATCATATTTGGCAATAATTGAACACTAATTATTTATAAAAACATTTAAGTTATATTACAGAAATCTGTAATTTGCACTTTTGGCCCCTAACGATTTGATCCAAAATTTTGTTATTTATTTCATTAATTTTA